TTATCATTATATACTGCCCCTCTTGGTGTCTCATTGCCCTTTTTATCTTGACGTCTGCTTTGTCTGATATAAGTATGGCAACACTGGCTTTCTTTTGTTTACCATTTGCTTAGAGTATCATCTTCCATCCCTTTACTCTGAGCCTGTTTGTCTTTAGAGCTGAGATGTGTTTCCTGAAGGCAGCATATCGTTGGGTCTTGTTTTTTAATCCATCCAGCCCCTTTGTGTCTTTTTATTGGAGAATTCAATCCATTTACATTTAGAATCATTATTGATACATGAGGGCTTAATACTGCCATTTTATCTCTTGTTTTCCAGTTGTTCTGTATTTCCCTTATTTTTCATCCTGTGTGTTTCTGACAGCCATTTCAGTTTGGTGATTTTCTATGAAGGTTTTCTCAGTTTCTCTCTATTTATCATTTGTGTCTCTGTTCTGATTTTTTGTTTAGTGGTTACCATGAAGTTTGTATAAAAGATCTCATAGATGAGATAGTCCATTTTCTGATAGCCACTTATCTCCTTAGCCTAAGTAGGTTCCATCCCTTTTCTCTTTCCTGCCTAAGTCTTCTTGTCACAACTTATTCCATTTTGTGTTGTGAGTTTGTGATTAAAATGAAGTGTTTATAGTTATTTTTGATGTTTTCTTTCCCTTTATCTTTAATGTTATAATTGTTTACTAACCTGTTCTGATAGAGAGCTGCAATTTTCTGATTTTGTCTGCCTATTTATCTCCTTGCTCAAGGCTTTGTAAACCTTTTCTTTTTTGTTTCGGGTATGAGGGCTTTTTGATCATTTCTTGTGTCGGGGGGGTCTTGTGGCGATGAATTCCCTCAGCTTTTGTTTATCTGGGAAAGCTTTTATTTCTCCATCATATCTGAAGGATAATATTGCTGGATAGAGTATTCTTGGCTGAAAGTTTTTGTCTTTCAGTATTTTGAATATATCATTCCACTCTTTCCTAGCCTATAAGGTTTCTGCTGAGAAATCTGGTAAAAGCCTGATAGGGGTTCCTTTGTAGGATATTTTCTTCTGCCTTGTTGCCCTTAATATTTTTTCTTTGTCATTGACTTTGCCGGTTTTACTAATATATGCCTTGGAGAAGGTCTTTTTGCATTGATGTGATTAGGAGTTCTATTAGCTTCATTTACTTGTAATTCCACTTCCTTCCCCCGGCTTGGGAAGTTCTCAACTATTATTTCTTTGAACAAGCTCTCTGCTCCTTTCTCCCTCTCGTCTCCCTCTGGAATACCTATGATCTTTATGTTGCATTCCTAATTGAGTCAGATATTTCTCGGAGAATTTCTTAATTTCCTTTTAGTCTTAGTTCTCTCTCCTCCTGCACCTGAAGCATTTCTATATTTCTGTCCTCTAAATTGCTAGTTCTGTCCTCCATAATGTCAGCTCAGTTTTTTAAGGATTCTGGATTGTTTTTTATCTCATTCATTGTGTTCTTCATCTCCAGCATTTCTCTTTTTTTTTTAGAGTTTCAATCTCTTTTGTAAAGAATTCCTTCTGCTCATTAATTTTATTCCTGAGTTTATCGAACTGTCTTCTGAGTTTTCTTGTAACTCGTTGGGTTTCTTTATGATAACTTTCGAAGTCTCTGTCATTTAGATTGTAAATTTCTGTGACTTTAGGATTGGTTTCTTCAGGCTTGTCATTTTTCTCTTGCTGTAGAATGTTAATGTATTTCTTCATTCTGTTTGATGGAGTGGACCTTTGTCAGTGCATAGTTGTAGTATCTGGTCGCAGATTCCACTTGCCACCACTGGCAGGGGCAGGAGCTATGTTTTCTGAACTGGCCACGTCCACTGGAAGTTGTGCCAATAGTGTTCTCTGTGTTTTCCCGCTGGCCACCGCTGCTTCACACACACAGGCACTCTGGTGCTGATTTGCTGCCCTGGCCGACCGGCTGAGCTGGTGCACCGGGCAGGGGGTGTGCTTTGTTTCACGTGCGTGATCTCACTCGATCCTGCTCTGCACTCACTGGCGGCCTGCCTGTGCTGCTCTGCTTGGTGGGGTTGCCACGCAGTGTCTGAGCCACCTCAGTGTGGGGCGTTGCCACAGGCTGGGAAGCAACTCCAAGAACAAAAGCTTTCCCTCGGAGGGCTGCCTGTTTGTCCATCTCCTCTCAGAGTCACGCACCAGCCTCTGCGTGAGGTCCAGCACTGGCTGCTACTTGAGGTTCCGCACCCTAGATCCCTGCTCTGCTGCTGGGGAGGGGGAGGAGATCTACTTACCTCATTCTGCTGCTTCTCGAGGATCCAGTCCCCCCACCTTCAGATGTATGGTTGCAGGGATCTCACAGATATCCTGTTGTGCTGTGTGGATGTTGTCTGTTGGTTAATGAATGTCCTTTTCGTTGTATCTTATGGAGGAGAGCCTAGGGGAACAACTCCCTCCGCCGTGATGCTGACATCACTCTGCAGCATTTAGTTTTAAATGTGTAGTACTGTGTGCCAGGGACCTGGTCAAGTATAGGTCTCTGATAACGAAAAGAAACAGCTGTGGAATCATACCTTCAGTCATCTCTGTAGCACCCATCAAATTAATACATTGAATTTTGGCCTTTGCCATCTTTGGATGGTCAGAATATAGGGCTTCCACCTCCCAGCCTTAGCTTTGCAAACATATTGGGACCAACTGTGTCCCTGTTTTTGCTCACATGCTAGAGGAGCTGAAGTCAGGGTAGTGACCAGCTCGTCCTAGCAGTCACATTGGCCATCTCAGTGCCTCTCTCTCTGATTGTGAAGGAAGAACTGGAACAGAAAATACCAGCAGAAATAGCTGAGATCAGGAGACTGTCAAATGGCTTTCCCGCAAATAGGAAAACAGTTCTTTGATTGACAGGCAGATGGAAAGGAGATGAGAGAGAAAGCAGCACGGAGCAAAAGGTGCGAGTGCTTAAGGGCAGGAGACCAGTTCTGTCGACAGCTGGTACTGAGCGACGGGCAGGTTGGCTTGGTGTTTGGGACTTGAAAACCCACCCTTGTCAGCATGGTGGTCTTGGGGGAACACTGTGAGGGTAGTGGAAGGAGAATGAATGTTCAGCAGTTTGTTGAGGGAGAGCCTGCTGCAAACACAGAGCTTTGTAGTATGTGTGGAGTAGTGTGGTTTCAGGAAGCTGACCATGTGCAGAGTGTAGGAGAGAGTTCTATTAGAAAGATTAAAGCAGGCGGGGAGGTTAAGGCCTGCGTGTGCCTGTTGTGGCTGATACGTGACCGGCCTAGGCAGTAGTGTCCTGTTTATCTTTTACTGAACATGAAGGGCAAGTGGTGGGGTTTATGCCCCTGAGAGGCACAGTCTCAGAGTTGGTGCTCCGACTTGCCTCTGTCGAGCTGACTGGCCTGTGCACATGCATGTCCTACATAGGCTATTGCACTGGGTGCAGGCCGAATGCCAGCCAGCTTGCCGTGCCATTTTCTGAAATAGAAGTGGCTTTTGTTGGGGCCCGGATTCTGTCCATTGTTGCTTTCTCCTGTCATTCCGGTAGTTGAGGGAGTGCAGGATTTCCACTCAGGAACTTTGAGTGGAACTTTGCTCGGTAAACAGGAATAAGAATGGTGGCTTCTGTGGTGTGCTGCATGTTTTTCTTCATCACACTTAGGAATTGTTCCACGTTTTCTGAGTTGTGCTGCACCAGAAATTGTTACTAGTACCTGGGTCTTCCAGGACCTGCCATGGCAGAGATGGTCAGTGCACTCAATCTCATTGAAACAAGCCAGGTTTATGACTTGGGGCAGGGGCTCCACACCAGGCACCCAGTCACTGGGTCACAGAAGAAGCACTTTGTTGGCTTCTCAGGGTACTTGTGCTTTGAGCTTCTTCCTGAATGGTGCTCTTAAGCCTGAGAGACCCGGTCCCCCATCCCGCCACACTTCGGTCTTCAGCTCTGCTCCTGTGTACTTGAGCCCCTCTTGCTATTTGTTTTAATAGTTGTACTGGAGAAGATTGCCTGGCTTTTCACAGATGCCAGCAGAAGTCTTTGTGGCTGATTACTCAGCTGTGACCACTGGGTTGGTGACTTTGTGGGCACAGTGAAGGGCCAGGGCCAGGCTGAATTCTATCTCCAAGGCAGCGGCCCAGGCCCAGGTGAGGAATTTCCTGCCACGTGCATCCATCTGCACAGCATCTCCAAGCTGCTGCTTCGTCATTGGGGAGCCCCATAGAGATGCGAAACCTCCACGCACAGCTTTGGTGTTTGCAGAGTGCTCTCATGCACCTTGTTGAGTTTGGCTTCTCCTCTGTTTTTACACATGAAGGGCCTGAGAGGTTACAGCTGTCCAAAGTTGCACAGCAAGTAAGCCCACCAGAATGGTTCTTGAGGACATCAAGCTGGGGACTGTTTCCCTTGCTGATAGGACTCTGTCTTACAACACGGAATCCCATTCATAGGTCACCTCCCCATCTCCATATTCCTCACCCAAGAATAGAATGGGTAAAAGTGTAATGCTGTGCAGAATACTACCATTTTTTTAAGTTGAATCATACCCATACCTGGCATAAAGAAAACGTGCTTCAGAATCTGGAAATAGTCACTTTCAGATATTTTCCAAATCTAATTAGATTGAAATGCAAAACATCCCTCTGTTCCACCTATTCTTAACCCTGGCTGCATGCCTGAATCATCCGAGGAGTTTTAAGATAAAAGGAAACAACAGAGCCGGGCCCCGTCCCAGTCCAGTCAAGTCTGACTCTGGGATGTGGGCACGTTGGTGGGTTAGGCCAGGCACTGCCACATGCCAGCTAGAGGGGGCGCTGATCCCATTAGTGTGCAGCTGGGCTGAGGCGCCAAGGGCAGCAGGGATGTTAATGACCTAGAGCAATGAAGATTCAGCACAAACATACTTACGTATCTCTGTATTATTTGAGGCTAAGAGATGTCAGTGCTGGTTACATTTTTCACTCTATCCCATTTTTCTGTTTTTAAGGTCAGATCCTAAGTCCTGTGGAGCCATGATCTGTTAGATGGAGTCTGAGTTTTTTTCCTTTCATTTTAGAGATGGGCGTGTCTTGGGCGTGCTGGAGGTGTCCCGCTCCATCGGGGATGGGCAGTACAAGCGATGTGGGGTCACTTCTGTGCCAGATATCAGACGCTGCCAGCTGACCCCCAATGACAGGTAATATTACCCTACCACAGGCACAGGTGTGCACACACATGGTCTTGTTTCTCTTCCTGATTTCTTCCAATTTGTATAACACACCTGGGTTCGGAGTGGTCAGCCATGTCTTAGGCACAGTGCTGGGCCCTGGAGGCTGCAAAGAGAAATAAATACAGCCTCTGCTCTGGTGGGGTCCACGGTCTGGTAGGGGAGCACACGTGAATGGGTGATTCTGGTCCAGGGTGTCTTGGGAGTGGGGTTCTCTGGGAGACTGTGGCAGGGGGGAGGGGAGGTCTCCCTGTTGGCGATAGGAGAAGGGCTTTCTAGCAGAGGGGACACACACAACAAAGGCATTCAAGTAGGACAGTGTGAAAACATGGCCAGGCAGGTGCCAGTAATGGGGAGTGATGGAAGAATGACGGCAGGCTCCTCTGGGGACAGGTTGTGAAGGGCCCTGCATTCCATGCTGAGGGGTTTGAGTTTAGCCTGTAATTGGTGGAGACTCATGGGAGGTTTTTAAGCAGGGCTAAGCTAGGTTGGGAAGGAGACTGCCCATTTAGTTGTCCATCTCCCATTCTAAGTGGCCTGAACAGATTGGGCACCATGCCTGGCGATGGGAAGCCCTCAGCAGGGAGTTGTGGAACATTGGAGTAGGATGGAGTGGGGAGACCCTTTAGGAACTGCTGCAGTGGCTCTGGCTTGAGGAGGAGGGCTGAACTTAGGCAGCAGTGGGAAGGAGAATGGAGAAGAGCTCAGAACAATGGGATTCACAAGACTGAACTGACAAGGCAGGTGAGAGAGGTTCACTGCTGCACTGCAGCAGGGAATGCTCTTCTGAGCCGTGCTCCCAGCGCTGCCGACGAGGAGCCTTACTATGGCCCTGCTTGCTCAGCCTCTCCCCATTCTCCATGCCTGCCTTCAGTGTGCCATGTTCTTGCCGACCTTAGGGTTGTGGGACGTTTCCATCAGCCCTTCCTCTAGTTTTCTAAATGCAGCCTCAGGAAAGTCTCTTCTGCCCCAACACTAATTTTTTAAATTTTATTTATTTATTTTTTCCCCCAAAGCCCCAGTAGATAGTTGTATGTCATAGTTGCACATCCTTCTAGTTGCTGTATGTGGGACGTGGCCTCAGCATGGCCGGAGAGGCGGTGCGTCGGCGCGCGCCCAGGATCCGAACCTGGGCCACCAGCAGCGGAGCGTGCACACCTAACCGCTAAGCCACGGGGCTGGCCCCATTCTGCCCCAACACTAGACCGAGTCCCTGTCGTATGTGCTGTGCTAGCTCCCTGTGCTCTGGGTGGTGGGTTTGCGTGATCAGTTATGCAGGGTCTGTTACCTCACTGGAAGGGCAGGAGCCTGCTTGGACTTGTGCCTTGCTGGGTCCCAAGCACAGACATGTGCCCAGTAAATACTTGTTGAATGAATGCCCAGTCAGAAGAGGAGAACCAAGACCTGAGTATTACACTGAGAAAAGAAAGGTGGTTCCACCTTCAACCTGTGGGGAACCTTCCTCCTGGCTAGGAGAACCAAAACTGTCACATCAAATCCATCAATGTTCAGAAAGACTTTCCTTGGGCAGTCGGAAGGAGGGGGATTTTGGAAGGGAGATAATCTCGTTCTCAGACAGTGAGAGTGGACTGTAGTCCTCCCTGGGGTCTTGGACTCACACATCTTCACGTGGGTAGAGTGTGCTCAAGGACATTCCATCGAAGTGTTGGCTGTCAGCTCTATGTCCTTGGGAAATGGCTCAAGGCAGGTGGTGATAGAACTTGGGTGTATAGTGACCGTAACAACTGATGTTTTTATTCGGTGATTTTCCTCATGTTTGTCTAAGAAAGTGCAGCACCCGGTGTTTGGGTTAATCCATGATTGTTGGTGAACAGAAGGGTAGTCCCAATCTTGATGTGTACCATCCCACCTACAAATATTTCTAAGTACTTTTAACCTTTATCTTTTTTTTTTTTTTTGGGCAAAGATGAAGAGGATCAGAGGTGTTTTTTTTTTTTTTTAGGAAGATTGGCCCTCAGCTAACATTTGTTGCCCATCTTCCCTTTTTTTTTTTCCTTTTTTCTCCCCAAATCCCCAGTAGACAGTTGTACGTCATGATTGTACATCCTTCTAGTTGCTCTTTGTGGGACGCCGCCTCAGCATGGCTTGATGAGCAGTGCGTAGGTCCACATCCAGGATCTGAACCGGCGAACCCCAGGCTGCCGAAGCGGAACATGTCAACTTAACCGCTCTGCCACTAGGCCAGCCCCTAATGTTTATCTTATAGGAGTTAAATTGGTTTTAAAAAGTTCTTAGCCTTTAAGCAGTTGGGCAAGTATTTATTTTACCTCCATTGCCAGGTGATTTTATAAAATTTCCCGCTAAAACTCGTTTATATTTCTTCCTCTTGTTGTAGGTTCATTTTGCTGGCCTGTGACGGCCTCTTCAAGGTCTTTACCCCAGAGGAAGCTGTGAACTTCATCCTGTCCTGCCTTGAGGTAAGGAACCTCACAAGGAGCGCCAGTAGGTTTTAGAGAAGTAGAGTCCTGAGACCCCGCGCCTGCTCCATGTTGCCCGTTGTTGGGGGGCAGCTGTGCACTTTCTCAGCATGAACTCTGCCCAGGGGACTCACCGCTCACTTTATCCTGCCTGCCCTGATGGACACTGGGGAGCAGTCCTTCCTCGAGGTGGTGGTGTTTCAGAAGAGTGACAGGGTGCAGGGTCCCCCTGTTCACCAGTCCCCCTTTCCTGTCCAATAGGATGAGAAGATCCAGAGCCGGGAAGGGAAGCCCACTGTCGACACCCGCTATGAAGCAGCCTGCAACAGGCTGGCCAACAAGGCAGTGCAGCGGGGCTCAGCGGACAACGTCACCGTGATGGTGGTGCGGATAGGGCACTGAGGGCACCACGAGACCAGGAGCACGGCATGGTAGTGACTTCAGAGGTTCATTGTGTGTGTGCACATTATGTGTGTTTCGTGTACTCCTTTGGGACTCCCATGGTTGTAAATAAAGGTTTCTTTGTTTTTTCTAGTCCTTTGAGTTATCTTATTACATTTTGAGCAGCTCTTGACCCTTAAGAGGTTAATTGTGTTTACTTTTGAATATGCTCTCGGTCTTTCCTTGTTAAAACCATTATAGGCATCTTGGATTGTCTCGTAATAATGACCCACCCCTCAAGTCGCTCCTTGGGCAGTGCTGTGTAGTTTACGGGCACCTTAGCTATGCTGTTTCACTCACAGTCACCCTGGTGGGGGAAGTGGCGAGCTCGAGGTGATGACAGGCTAGGACTGGGACCCGGGCTGTTGGAGCGCTCTGGCTTCTTTCAGTTTTCCATATGAAAATAAGTTTACAAAACGTTACATAGTACGATCCCAGGTTGAGCCAGGAGAATAGTGTGTCCCTGAGAGGCCCTCCGAAAACAACACGGAATTCAGCTTATCTCTGATTCCACTGATAATACATGCAGTCTGGCTGGAGGACTATGGAGTGCTGGGTGTACTGGGTCTCAAATCTGGATCCCCTGGGTGTAAAATGTGCACTTCCCGGTTTGAGCAGGCAAGCTCACTGGAATCAGAGATAAGCAGTTCAGGACGGCCTCTGAAATCCAGCTCCCCATTTTGGGCATGTGCGTTCAGTTGGCTCTGTGTTGGGCTGAGGTTGGTCTTCACAGTAGCACTTCAAAGTGGGACCCTTCTGTTAAAGATGTCAAAAAATGCATGATCAGCCTACTCAGAAGAACAAATTTTAAAATACTTTCCAAGCCCTTTATATTAAAACAGGTCATCAGTATTGCTGTAACTGCTTTTTAGTAAAGCAGCTCTTAGGTCTTTTTGTGTCACTGCTAGCCTCAGGATGATGTAAGATTCTAAAAATTTGCCTTTGACGAAGCTGTTTTGTAATGTTTACTGGCCCCCGCCCAGCACATGGTCTTATCACTCGTCAGCTCAGTTAGTGGAACCGGTGTCCCTGCTACAAGTACCTCGGGATGTTCAGAGTACACCCTTCCCCAGACTGTTAAGAGCCAGGTTCCATTTCTGCTGAGGACTGTGACATCAGACAGTGTGGCATCACTGAAGAAAAGACCCTTAGCATCTCAGAATTGGGAAACAGAACAATTTATTCAATAAACCTCTTCCTATAGCAAACCAGGTGTCAGCCTGTGACTCATGTGTCCCTAATTCTCAGAGTGCCACTGTCCCAGAGCTGGAGAGGCTTGGCACCGCGGCTTCCCTGGCAGGGCCCTCTCCTGCCTCCTTCATGGGGTCCGAGGGCCCCCACAGGCTAGAGGCCATCCCTCCACCTCACTCTGAGTTCACTGCTCGCCATCCTAGTGAGCCTGGCCTAAATGATAGAGATGCTATAGTTTAAGGTATGCCCTTTGTTTTTATTACAACTTTGTATAATCATGTAACACAATTCTTAAGTACTTGAATCACCTCATAAAGTCAGTTACATATATAAATATATTCCACCTGGCAATATCATACAATAAATACTTCAATAAATTGCTGTATGACACACTTGAGAAAATGAAAGAGATCTGTGGCTTTTTCAAGGTTAAAAGAGAACTTCTCTAAAATATCTGTGCCCACTGCGTACAAAGTGAAATCCAGAAAAGGGTGTGGCTGTGTCACCCCTTATCAAAGAGCGAGGGGAGACAGGACACAGGCCGGCCAGCGCTTCCTGGTAGGGCGGGTGCACATCCTACTGAGAACCGTGCCAGGCCTGCCAGAGGGCACGAAGTGGCCAGCTTACGTGCACTGCGCTTGGGGAGGGAGATGTTTTGACTCGAGTGTGGGGATGGAAGCTTTGGGCTCCTGGGTATCAGTCAGGCCTGGCCACAGTCACCTGCTCATCCTGAGGCCAGCTAGGTTAAGGTCACTGGCCATTGTCCCCTTCTCTCCCAAGCCTGAACACACCCTTGCTAGAGCAGTTTGGCCCCCCAGGACAACCTGTGGTACCAGGTCCCTGTAGCCCCTTGTGTGTAGGGACGGGGGTTGTGGTAACTTCCTCAGCAGGCAGTGGGGACCTTGGAAGACACCTTGGAAGACACGTGCTGCAGGCCGACACCCGTGTCTCCTCACAGGAACACCCCCCACCCCCACCCCAGTCCCATCACTGCTATGGCAGCACAGCAGACTTGGGACCTAGCCTTCCCAAGACCAGCGCTTTCTTGGCACCATGTCCTTCTCCACCTGTCTGAGCTTGGGGACCACACTTCCACCCAACTGGGGAAGAACCTCGGAGCTGGCAGGACCCAGTGAGGCCCTAGGTGGGCAGTGGGCTCTGTCAGCTCCCGGGACGCCTCTGCTTTATCTGTTCAGATGGGTAGGCAGGGCCTGGCCGCCTCTCATCTGTAAAGATGTTCTAGATCTTCCATCTGGTGGGTGGACCCTAGCAGTGCCTCAGACCTCAAAGGGGATAGGAAAAGGGACCTTGTCTATGACGGATTTGCAGAGGAGGCAAAGAGTGCAGCTCCTATTTGGAAAAGCCATTTGCAAAGTGAACTTGCAGGTTAACGTGCACACATTAGAAGTGAAGACAGCTCCTGGAAGCTGGGCCCAGATTCTCACTGTCCCCCCATAAGCCCCTTTCCAGCATCCCTCTGGTTTCCAAGGCTGCTTTGCCAAGGAGCCACAGCGAGAGCCTTGGGTCCTGTGGACACTGCAGGCCAAGCAGCGCCCTGAGGTCCACGGGCAGGCCACGGGCACGGCTGGGGGAGGGGCAGGCGTGGACCAGGGGGCCCAGGTGGACACGGGGAGCTGTGGGAAGGCTCTGGCTCAAGCCAGCCTGGCCACACAGCTTGCTTTCCTGGGAAGCCCCGCAGCCTGCACAGGCTGCCCCTCCACACAGGGCACCCGGGCAGGCTGACCGGCCTTTCCCCTCTGTGCTAGTGTTCCTGGCAGCCCACGAGAATGCTAAGAAAGTTGGAAAAGGCGGGGATCGGCCATAGCAAAGCAGCTGAGGCTGTCTGGGCAAGCTGCCCAACCGGCCAGCAGGGGGGCCTGGTCTGCAGTCAGGGATGAAGCAAGTGCTCCTGGGTGCACCAAACCCAACTAGAAACATTTCCAGAGTAACAGCCCAAGAGGGCTTTTCCCCTTTTAAAAGGTGGCATCCTGGAATCATCTGGGTTTTGGGACTGCTGGTTTGCATGTCACCTTCTGGGGCTGCCTGTTGTGGCCGTCTTTGGGCTGAACTGCGGTGGCTAGTGTGGGCATTTCCAGCGGACTTCCTCCTGTGTGTGGCCTTTGCCACTCCGACACTGCCCAGAGATCCTTCGGACCCCAGCTCCGTTTGCCCGGCAAGAGGAAGGGCCTGGGGTGGCCGCTCACACACCAAGGAGGACAGCGCTGAAGTGGGAGCCGCTGCGCACGGTGAGGGAGGAGCCACTGGCGTTGTCCAGGAAGACGGAGGTGTACTGCCCCATCTGCAGGGAGCGGCGCCCGGCAGGAGTCAGCCTGGGTACCGCCAGCCTGCAGGGTCGCCCCCATTTGGCCCGCCCAAGGACGTGGAGCGAGGGTTTGGCACGCCTTGCCCTCAAACCCAGCGCCTCTGACCCCTATTCTAGTGCTTTCTCTCCAGCTCCATGGGCCCCCCCTGCGCCCATGGGCTCCTACAGTTCACGTGCGTGGGAGCGAGCCTACGCTCAGGGCCAGAGGGGTTCAAGAGTCAAACAGGCTCCTCTGCTGCAAGCGGAGCCTGTAAGGGCTCTAAAGTGGGGTGTGAGGGTGGCCCTGCCCCCACAGGCCTGGCCACCAACCCATTTAGCAGAGCCGTCGTGGGACAAGTACTCTGGCCTGGCTGCTCCGAATGTGGTCCATGCACCAGCAGGGTCCCATCCTCTGGGAACTCCCAGAAATGAAGAATCTAGGGACCCACACAACCTTCTGCATCTTTGGGGGAAGGTGACCTGGACAGGGCCTGGCTCTGCATGGACTAGCACAAGCGCTCTAGTGACCCTGAACCTATCTCAGGCCTGGAGCCTGAGGGCGCTGCTCCCAGAGCTCCTGAGCACTCACCAGCACCCCTCCCTGCCCAGTCACCCCATGGCCACGCCCAGGTGGTGCCCCCACGCCTGAGCCTGCCCCACGCACCTGCAGATACAGCACGCCATTTACCGAGACGGTGAAGAGCTCGCTGCTGCTCTCCAGGCCCACCACAGCCTCCAGGGAGCTGTCACCAGAACAGAAAGAGGTCAGCCCGAGCCCGGCCCCAGACCCCACCAACTTTACCCACCAGCACCCCAGCACCCGACACGGGGCCCAGCAAAGTGCGGGGGACAGCAGTCCGGGCTGGGTCTTCTGGTGGAGGTGGTATCTGAAGTGGGTGTCCAAGAGGAGTAAGGGCAGTCTCCACAGGGCCAAAGCTGTGCTGCGAGGCCGGGCGAGGCAAGCTGGCACGGCCAGGGGCAGCAGGTCCTGCCTCTGCTGGAAACAGGACACTGATGGTGCAGCAGGGGCAGGGGGTGGCAGAGGTGGGGGGGGGCAGGCTGGACGTGGTCGGCAGCTGTGACGATAAAAAGCGGGTTCTGGCCAAAAGTGGAGGGTTTTCAAACCAGAATGAGAAGTTTTGAACTTCACTCGTTCCTGCCTTCTGGGACTATTGGGGAGCACCTGCTCTGTGCCTGGGCTCTGTTCTGGGTGCTGGGGCTCCCGAGGAAGCCGCCTCTGCCATCGAGGGGGAAAGGGGAAGATCGCTAGGGTCATGTGCATGAAGCAAGTTCACAGGGAGGAGCCTCGCACAGAGTGATCAGGAAAGGCCTCTCTCAGGAGGTGACGCGCGATGGGAGTCAGTGCCCTGCGGGGATGGGAAAGGGGTAGGCTGGGGAGGGCCCGGCTCCTAGGTCCTGGGAAGGGGGTGGGGGAGTGTGCACAGGGGGGCGCGGCGAGGCCCCGTGGGGGAAGCCGGAGGGAGGAGGCGGGTCTGGTGCCAGTTTAGTGAGCGCCCCGAGCTGCCTGCCCCCGCGGTGGAGGAGGGCTCGGGCGGAGTCCCCTCTATGCCCCCCCGCCCCCCTCTCCCCCTGGTGCACTCACGCGTTGCGCTGGCACCGGGACTGGATGCAGATGAGCAGGCGCAGGCGGTCCCGGGGGCGCAGCGGCCCCCGTCTCGGCTGTTCCCCGAGCGCTGCGGGGATGGGGGGTGGTCACGGGGCGGTGAGGGCAGCGCGGGCGGTACCCGCCTCCCCTCCTGGGCGCCGGGCCTCACCCACGTGCAGCGTGGCGGCGAGCGCGTAGAAGCCGGCGACGGGCGCCGTGTACTGGCCGCTGGTCAGGTTCAGGCCCGGGCCGCGGCGGAAGGCACCCTCGGCGTCGGGCTACGGGGCGCACGCACGGTCACTGGGGCCCGGCCACGATCCCCCTCCGCCCCGCCCCGGCCGGCCCGGGCCTCACCAGGTAGTAGACGCCGAGCTCGTGCAGCGCGCGCCGCTCCACCGACGCGTCCCGGCGCAGGCGGCAGTGGAAGGCGGCCTCGACGCGCGGA